CAACTGCCCTCCCCTGCAGGCCCGGTTGCCCCCAACTGCCCTCCCCTGCAGGCCATCTTATGGCCACACGGGGGTGGCCATCTTGTGTGTTGGAGTGATGGTCAATTTCCATACTGGTCGTGACTAATTAGCATATCCAGTCATGACTGTGAGGGCGTTGTGACAAATTTGCATATTACCCTTTTATTAGTATAGATAAGGTAAAGCCCAGGAAGACAGCTTGAATATAATGGAAGGTCAGAGTATTATTAAGAAAAACTTGAAATAATGTTGGTCAAGCCACAAGGGCCAGATTACAGGAAGCCTTGAAATCTAGAAAGAAAAATTTACACTTTATGTGGTAAGAGATGAAAATTGCTGGAGCTTTTGAGCAGGATAATGGCATGTTAAGAGAAGAGTTAATGAAGCAGAGAGTACTGTTTGAATCCTCACTCCGTCACTAATTAGTTTTGTGATCCTGGAAAGTTACTTAAGTTCTCTCTCCGTATCCTCATCTACAGAAGAGGGTAATAATAACAATCAGCTCTGAAAGTTGCTATGAAGATAAAATGATATAGGTCAAGTGCTTAGAATAAATGCCTGGCACACACGAACAACATAAATTAACATGGTCAAAATACGTGGGCTGACAGGAGGCTACCTGGAATTAGAAAGAGAGCAATGGAAATGTGGAAGAATAAGACCCATTTGAAAGAAGTCACTTGGTGACTGGGGGCGGGGGCGACAGTAGATATATATTGTTTATTCTGCGTACTTAGAACCTGAGTCCCATTCTCACACTTGGGGAATTTTACACTGTTTGTATGAGCCTTGATGAGAGGCAGGAACCCATCTCCCAGAGAGCTGAAAAGACAGATATACATTGTCTTTGCTCTTGGAGGTTTAGGACTAAAGACTGAGCTAAATGTAGTCAAATGGATGCTTGCAACTGGGATTTAAAATTGAAAGCAGGATTTATAAAGAAGGGACAGTGGATATAGCTCCTGCCTATTTCTCAGTAGCCTTCCAGTAAATATCTATCTACTGAAATGAGTAGACACCAGAGTTGGTATCCACTGAGGAACACTGAACTACGAATCCAAGTTTTCAAGTCTGGGAGACATGGTCAGAGAAGATTTGAACACACAAAGTTTGAGGTGAAAGTTGAAGATAAAACAGTACATTTTATACAAGCTAGAATTATAAGAATAAAATAAAGTTAGAGAGCATAATTAATAGAGAGATAACAGGTAAAGGCTTGAAAAAGAGAGAGAAAGATAGAGGGGAACAAGCAGTGCTAGGAACGATTACAAAGCTAAGTACCAGTAACAGGTACATAATACATATACTGGCAATAAGACCTTTGGTTATTTGGTTAAGGTGGTGTGCCAGGTCTCTCCACTGTAAAGATATGATTTTACCCTTTGTAACTAATAAGAAAGTGGTTGGGAGATTGTTTGAGACTAAATATCCTGTTCTCAAACTTTCACCTACTAATCTCAGCATCCATTGATAACTTTTGACTGAATTAGTTATTACGGTGGTTGCCATGTGGTGATTTTTCTAATCCCATCTTTGTTTCCAAATTTATTAGTTGGCATTCTATTATAAGGAGGAGCTTTCCCTTCACCCTTCTTTATTTGAATCAGTGTGGTCATGAACACTTATTGATTTAGTAGGTTGTAATCTTTTAACTACATTATATATTTTTGATGCTGAAATTATCCTAGATTGGACAGTGGTAGCCCCTACAAACTGTATTCCTTGATCTGTCTCCATCATTCTTTGAGCACTTCTGGTTCTACAAGATGTTCTAGGTTTATCTTGTACTTTTTCTACCCCAATGTTAGAGCAAGCCATTTTCCCAAAGAGCTCCTTGGCCATATTTATTACTAATTAAAATTAATTTTCCACAAATAAAAGATTGTTTAATACCTTTTGTTGAATCCATTCCTCCAACGGCAAATAATGTACCAACAGTTGACTTCCTAGGTTTTGTCCGAGGACTTTGTAACATGGGTCGTCTCTCTGGTAATAAATGATACTTCATTGCTTCCATAATTAGTTTCTGACATTCTATATCATCCCGAAAAAGTGCATTATTTTCCATGTCTGCCAGGAACTGGAAAAAAAAAGTTATATGTAAACCGAATAACCAAGAAAATAGGAAGGGCAAAAGAATAAACTATATAGTTCACAAATGGAAATGATCTCACTTTCAAAAAATCCAAGTCTGGACACCTATTTTTAAAAAAAATATATTTTATTGATTTTTTACAGAGAGGAAGGGAGAGAGATAGAGAGTTAGAAACATCGATGAGAGAGAAACATCGATCAGCTGCCTCCTGCACATCTCCTACTGGGGATGTGCCCGCAACCTAGGTACATGCCCTTGACCGGAATCGAACCTGGGACCTTTCAGTCCGCAGGCCGACGCTCTATCCACTGAGCCAAACCGGCTTCGGCCTGGACACCTATTTTTAAGTAAAAAATGCAACATTTACAAGATTCACATTTTAAATTTCATTAAAAATAAAAAAACTGTGAGGGATACATGGTATGCTCTCAAATCTTAATAGTGTTTACCTCTGGGTAGTAGGGAAAATGGTGCTTTTTTAAAAAAAATATATTTTATTGATTTTTTACAGAGAGGAAGGGAGAGAGATAGAGAGTTAGAAACATCGATGAGAGAGAAACACCGATCAGCTGCCTCCTGCACATCTCCTACTGGGGATGTGCCCGCAACCCAGGTACATGCCCTTGACCGGAATCGAACCTGGGACCTTTCAGTCCGCAGGCCGACGCTCTATCCACTGAGCCAAACCGGTTTCGGCAAATGATGCTTTTTTAACAGTATTTTTTTTCACGACTTTTCTATATTTTCCTGAAAAGATTTTCTAAAATAAATAATTTTACTTTCTTAATTATAAATCATTTTTACTGAAGAAGAATAATTATAAGTTGACTAATTAAACTGCATTTTTCTGTCCTCTCAAAACAATCTTCAAACAACAGCAAAAACAAACTTACCAATTTCTTAAGGGGCAAAGAACTCTAACTGGTTCTAAAATAATTAAAATCCTTTGTGAGTCACTGAATCCTACTTTTTTACTTATGTAGTTTTATGTAAATGCATACACCTTTCCTTTTAAAAAGTGAATTTCTAAACAGTATGAGTTGAAAAATACTTTTATTTTCTTCCAGGTGGCTAGCCAGTTCTGTATGAACACCATTTATTAAATAACCTCTGTCATTTCCAACTGAATTGAACCTTGGTCGTACATTACATTCTCAGAAATAGTCTCAGGATATATGAGATTGATTTTTTTTTATTCTTTATTCTGTTCCATTGATCTGATTTATCTATTTCCATTCTAATACCGTATATTTTTAGTGTTTTTATAGCATGTCTGATTACCTGATATAAATCGACCCTCACTGTTCATTTCACAGTTTTCTTGGCTATTTTTGAGTATTTACTTTCCATATAAAGTTGAGAGAAATTTATCTAATTCCCCTCCATCATCCTGACCCTGTTGGAATTCTAATAGGAACTGCATTAAGTTTATTTATTAATTTCCTCCCATTTCCCCCCCGCCCTGCAATCACCACACTGTTGTTTGTGTCCATGAATTTTTTTTCTCTTTTGCTCAATCCCTCCATCCCCCACCAGCCCTCTCTCCTCCACAGCTGTCAGCCTGATTTTTATTTTTGAGTCATCTCTATTTTGCTTGTTAGTGCATCAGATGCCACATATGAGTGAAATCATATGGCACTCGTCTTTCTCTGACTGTCTTATTTCACTTAGCATAATGCTGTTGCAAAGGGTAAGATTTCCTTCTTTTCTTTTAATCCTCACTCTAGGATATGTTTTTATTGATTTTTAGAGAGATGAAGGAAGAGAGAAATATCGAATAGTTGCCTCCCATACATACCAGGGATTAAACTACCGGCCAGGCAATTTCCTTTGTGGTTTTTTTTTGTTGTTTTTTTGTTTTTTTTTTTACAGCCAAGCAGTGTTTAATTGTGTAAATGTACCACAGCTTTTTTATCCACTCATCTACTGATAGACACTTTAGCTGCTTCCAAATCTTGGCTATTGTAAATAATGCTGCAGTGAACATAGGGACACATATATTCTTTCAAATCAGTGTTTTGGGTTTCTTCAGATAAATTCCCAGAAGTCTGTTTCATTTTTAATGTTTTGAGGTAACTCCATATGCTTTCCACAGTGGCTGCACCAATCTGCATTCCCACCAACAGTGCAGGAGGGTTCCCTTTTCACCACATCCTGGCCAACACTTGTTTGCTGAATTATTGATGATAGCCATTCTGACAGGTGTAAGGTGATATCGCATTGTGGTTTTAATTTGCATTTCTCTGATGAATAATGACATTGAGCAATATAGAGTATTTTTGTTTCTGGTTTGAATTGATATTGCTTTAGTGTCTCACTATTTATGATAACAGTTTCTGGTTTGAATTGATATTGCTTTAGTGTCTCACTATTTATGATAACAGTTGCTATAGCATTTAGTAACTCACCTTTATTATATCTAGGTTGTTTTCTTCTCTACCTTTCTACTTTAAAGTTTTAATATTAAGAATGATTGCATAAAAAAAAAGAATGATTGCTAAAATTTTTCCTCAAATACCCTTTACACATCTATTGATATGATCATATGGCTTTTTGTCCTTTATGTTATTAATGCAATTAATAATTACTGCAATAGACTTCCTGAGCCTCAACAATTTTTGTATTCCTCAAAAAAGACCTTCTTGGTCTTCCTTTTGATACCCTACAGGATTGCATTTGATAAGATAAGGTGTATTTTACACATCACATAATGCACCATTTCAAGTATATAATTCAGTGGTTTTTAGCAAATTTACCAAGTTGTGCAACCATTACCTTAAAACAGTTTTGGAAGGAATATTTTCATCACCTCAATTAGATCATGCCTATTTACTCTTAATCTCTGTTCCCATCTCCTGTCCCAGGCACCAAACTATCTTAATAGATTTGCCTTTTTAGATGTTTTATGTAAACAGAATCATACAATATGTGATCTCTTATGCCTTGCTTTTTAAAACATTTAGCTTATTTTTTTATGTCCATCCATGTACAGCATGTATCAGTACTTCATTTCTTTTTATTGTTGAATAATATCCCATTGTATGGATATGCCACATTTTGTCTATCTGTTCACCAGCTAATGGACACTTAGGTTGTTTCTAGATTTGGGCCATTATGAATAAAGCTGTTAAGAACATTTGTGTGCAAGTCTTCATGTAAGTATTTATGTTTTCATTTCTTTTGAGTAGGTATCTAGGAGTAGAATTGCAGGGTCATATGGTAAATTTATGTTAATGTTTTAAGAAACTGCCAAACTGTTTTCCAAGGTGGCTGCATCATTTTATATTCCCGTCAGCAATATATAAGAGTTCCTGTTTCTTCACATTCTCACCAACAAATGTGACCATCTCCTTTTATTTTAGACATTTGAGTGAGTGGGAAATGCGGTTTTACTTTGCATTTCCTTAATGACTAACAATGTTGAGAATATGTTCATATTTTGATAATGGAAGAAAAGGAAGCTTCTAACAAAAGTCACTGTAAGAAAGTTTGTGACATTTGGAAACAGAGAACAGAACACTGAAGGCCAAAAAGCCAAAGTAAGACATTTGTCTCAGGACCTATGTTAGAGTATGCATTTTGGTATTAATTATTCCATATTTCTTCTATGCACACAAAATAGTTATACTTTTCCAGAAACCATTAATGAATATGTACTGAGTTGGCTCATTTATATTAATACTAATATTTATATTGCTTCTATTATAAATAATTACTTTAATCCTTTCTAAATAAAATAAATGTGAAAAAAATTATAGAAAGTAATCTTGAGAGACTTAGTAGTTACTGCAATTTTAAGTAAAACATATTTCTTAGCATGCTGACAGTCTATAAATTATTATGAATAAACTAGAGGCCTGGTACACGAAATTCGTGCACTTGGGCGGGGGAGGAGGGGTCCCTCAGCCTGGCCTGCACCCTCTCATAGCCCAGGTGCCCTCAAGGGATGTCCAACTGCCATCAGTGGGACATCCTTAGTGCTGCTACACAGGCAGGAGAGGCTCCCGCCACCGCTGTTGCGCTCACCAGCAGTGAGCCCAGCTTCTGGCTGAGCGGCACTCCCCCTGTGGAAGTGCACTGACCACAAGGGGGTAGCTCCTGCATTGAGCATCTGCCCCCTGGTGGTCAGTGCGCATCATAGCGACTGGTCATTCTGCTGTTTGGTTGATTTGCATATTTGTCTTTTATTATATAAGATGGGATTAATTATATTTTTTCCTCCCAAAGGGATTAATTATATTTCTGTAGAGAGATAAAAGTAATAGAAGAAAATATGAAGCTATTAATTCAAGTATCAGATTAATCAACTGGAAGGTACTAGATATGATCTGGAAATCAGAAGGCACTGAGAGAGAACTACAAAATACAGACTCATGTATACTGTGCATTTTAGGTGAATACTATGTGCCTTCTCTGTCATAAAAGAATGGCAAATTCTTAAAATGAAAGCATTTATAAAATAGAAGAAATATTTTCAATTTGTAAACTTTTATCTTTACTCATATACTTGTTCAGCATATGATTATTTCTCTAAAACTGTCCTCCCTCCAAAATAGAATGTGAATGATTTATGAACTCTACAGGCTTTAAAAAATGTTTTGGTATTAAAAAATTTGCAAATTAAAAGAATGCTAAAGATAAATACAAACTCATTTTATATTTTTGACTTTTAGTAAAAAACAACAGTGAGAATTGAGAACCGACTCATGAAGGCCAAGATATTTGCAGTACAGGCTATATACATTGGGAACATTAAGAATTTAGGTGTTAAAATCTTTTAAGTAATGTATATATGCCCTAGTATTTGTATTTACATGCTTTAAAATTTGATCAAAGAGAAAAATTTGGATGCTTTCAAAGGTAAAATAAAATGACCACAAGCACTTGTCTTCTGGATTATTAAGAGTTTTTCACCCACCACCACCACAACCACCACCACCACCACCACCACCCACCACCACCCCCCCCAAAAAATAGTTTTTGAA